CGGATTGTATGTTTATCTTATGTTTTTTCTTACTTAAATGAACTGGTGTTGTAATCCTTCGGTAAGAAGGGATATTCGTGCACAATGATTATGATATATTCCAAAACCATTGTAATCATATATGCCATTTATTATAATATGGCATTAAAATTGTCTCTTAGACTTCCAAATGATGATATCCATATTTCCCATAAAAAAGAGAAATGAAAAACATGATTATCATTTTAATATAAACTGTTGTATAATATGTATCTTTATCTATGTTCCTTTACCCTTTGGCGACGTTCATAGGACGTAAGTATCCATCTAAATGTAATCATCCCTTTTTCATAATAATTTGTCGTCCTTCTTAATATTTCGATTCGTAGTTCCGTTTTAGGCTTTTTTTTTAGCTCCCAAAGAGAGGATGCTAGGTTGTTTAAGAAATGCAACCACTTGTCCATGATCTTTTCTAACCATCATTTTAACAATTCAAATTGTTCGTTTTACAGAAAGGCATGTAGTGTATGTTTATATTATGTTTTTTCTTACTTAAATGGACTGGTGTGGTAATCTTTCGGTAAGAAGGGATATTCGTGAACAATGATAAAGATATATTCCAATACTATTGTAATCATATATGCCATTTATAAAACCATATTTCCCATAAAAAAGAGAAATGAAAAAGATGATTATTTTTTTAATATAAACTGTAATCTAATATGTATCTTTATCTATGTTCCTTTACCCTTTGATTACGTTAATAGGACGTAAGTATCCATCTAAATTTAATCATCCCTTCTTTATAATCATTTGTCGTCCTTTTTAATATTTCGAGTCGTAGTCACGTTTTAGGTTTTTTTTTTTAACTCCCCACGAGAGAATGCTAGGTTGTTTAAGAAATGCTACCAATTGTCCATAACCACTTGTAACCATCGGTTTAAAAAATCAAATTGTTCGACTTTCATCAAGTCACGGATTGTATGTTTATCTTATGTTTTTTCTTACTTAAATGAACTGGTGTTGTAATCTTTCGGTAAGAAGGGATATTCGTGCACAATGATTATGATATATTCCAAAACCATTGTAATCATATATGCCATTTATCATAATATGGCATTAAAATTGTCTCTTAGACTTCCAAATGATGATCTCCATATTTCCCATAAAAAAGAGAAATGAAAAACATGATTATCATTTTAATATAAACTGTTGTATAATATGTATCTTTATCTATGTTCCTTTACCCTTTGGCGACGTTCATAGGACGTAAGTATCCATCTAAATGTAATCATCCCTTTTTCATAATAATTTGTCGTCCTTCTTAATATTTCGATCCGTAGTTCCGTTTTAGGTTTTTTTTTTTTAGCTCCCAAAGAGAGGATGCTAGGTTGTTTAAGAAATGCTACCACTTGTCCATGATCTTTTCTAACCATCAATTTAACAATTCAAATTGTTCGTTTTACAGAAAGTCACGTATTGAATGATTATCTTATCTTTTTTCTTGCTTAAATGAACTGGTGTTGTAATCCTTCGGTAAGAAGAGATATTCGTGCAAAATGATAAAGATATGTTTCCTAAACCCTTGAAACCATGAATGCCACTTAAAAAAGGGCACAACATTATCTTTTAGGCTTTCAACTGATGATCTCCTTCTTTCCTATAAAAAATAGAAATGAAAAAGATGAGAATCATTTTAAAATAAACTGTATTCTAATATATATCTTGATCTTTTTCCCTTTAACCTTTATCTTCGTTCATAGCGTGTAAGTATCCATCTAAATTTGATTATAAATTCTTTAAATTCATTTGACGTCCTTCTTGATATTTCGATTTGTGGTCATTTTTAAGGCTGTTTTAATGCTCACCACGAGAGAATGCTAGGTTGTTTTAGAAATGCTACCATTTTTCCATAACCTTTTTAACCATCGGTTTAAACATTCAAATTGTTCGTCTTTCAGAAAGTCATGTATTGTATGATTATCTTATCTTTTTTCTTACTTAAATGCACTGGTGTTGTAATCCTTCGGTAAAAAGTGATATTCGTGCACAATGATAAAGATATTTTTCCTAAACCCTTGAAACCATGAATGCCCCTTAAAAAAGGGCACAACATTATCTTTTAGGCTTTCAACTGATGATCTCCTTCTTTCCTATAAAAAATAGAAATGAAAAAGATGAGAATCATTTTAAAATAAACTGTATTCTAATATATATCTTGATCTTTTTTCCTTTAACCTTTATCTTCGTTCATAGCGTGTAAGTATCCATCTAAATTTGATTATAAATTCTTTAAATTCATTTGACGTCCTTCTTGATATTTCGATTCGTGGTCATTTTTAAGGCTGTTTTAATGCTCACCACGAGAGAATGCTAGGTTGTTTTAGAAATGCTACCATTTTTCCATAACCTTTTTAACCATCGGTTTAAACATTCAAATTGTTCGTCTTTCAGAAAGTCATGTATTGTATGATTATCTTATCTTTTTTCTTACTTAAATGAACTGGTGTTGTAATCCTTCGGTAAAAAGTGATATTCGTGCACAATGATAAAGATATTTTTCCTAAACCATTGCAACCATGTGAATGCCACTTAAAAATGAAGGCACGACCTTATCTTCTAGGCTTCCAATCGATGATATCCTTTTTCCCCATAAGGAGAGAGAAATTAAAAAAAGATGAGTATCACTTGTTTATTAAGTGTAATCTAATATAATCTGTATTTGTGTTCCTTTTACCCTCATCCTTTGTTTATAGACGGTAAGTATCCATCTTTATTCAAATATATCTTTTTTTTAAAAATATGTTCTGGTCCTTTTTCAAAATCTTGTTCATCTTTTCACTTCTACGCTTTTGTTTAGCTCATCACGTTAGAATGATTGGGTGTTGTAGAAATAATACCACTTTTTCTTGATCACTTCTAATACATCAGTTTAAAAATTAAATTTTTCGTCTTTCAGAAAGTCACGTATTGTATGATTATCTTAACTTTTTTTATACTTAAAAGAACTGGTGTTGTAATCCCTCGGTAAAAAGTGATATTCGTGCACAATGATAAAGATATGTTTCCTAAACCATTGCAACCATGTGAATGCCACTTAAAAATGAAGGCACGACCTTATCTTCTAGGCTTCCAATTGATGATATCCTTTTTCCCCATAAAGAGAGAGAAACGAAAAAAAGATGAGTATCACTTGTATAATAAGTGTAATCTAATATAATCTGTATTTGTGTTCCTTTTACCCTCATCCTTTGTTTATAGACGGTACGTATCCATCTAAATTCAAAAAAATCTTTTTTTAAAATATGTTCTGGTCCTTTTTCAAAATCTTGTTCATCTTTTCACTTCTACGCTTTTGTTTAGCTCATCACGTTAGAATGATTGGGTGTTGTAGAAATAATACCGCTTTTCCTTGATCACTTCTAACCATCAGTTTAAAAATTAAATTTTTCGTCTTTCAGAAAGTCACGTATTGTATGATTATCTTAACTTTTTTCTTACTTAAAAGAACTGGTGTTGTAATCCCTCGGTAAAAAAGTGATATTCGTGCACAACGATAAAGATATGTCTCCTAAACCATTGCAACCATGTGAATGCCACTTAAAAATGAAGGCACGACCTTATCTTCTAGGCTTCCAATTGATGATATCCTTTTTCCCCATAAAGAGAGAGAAATGAAAAAAAGATGAGTATCACTTGTATATTAAGTGTAATCTAATATAATCTGTATTTGTGTTCCTTTTACCCTCATCCTTTGTTTATAGGTGGTACGTATCCATCTAAATTGAAATATATATATTTGTTTTAATATGTTCTGGTCCTTTTTCCAAATCTTGTTCATCTTTTCACTTCTACGCTTTTGTTTAGCTCATCACGTTAGAATGATTGGGTGTTGTAGAAATAATACCACTTTTCCTTGATCACTTCTAACCATCAGTTTAAAAATTAAATTTTTCGTCTTTCAGAAAGTCACGTATTGTATGATTATCTTAACTTTTTTCTTACTTAAATGGACTGGTGTGGTAATCCTTCGGTAAGAAGGGATATTCGTGCACAATGATTATGATATATTCCAAAACCATTGTAATCATATATGCCATTTATAAAATATGGCATTAAAATTGTCTCTTAGACTTCCAAATGATGATATCCATATTTCCCATAACAAAGAGAAATGAAAAACATGATTATCATTTTAATATAAACTGTTGTATAATATGTATCTTTATCTATGTTCCTTTACCCTTTGTCTTCGTTCATAGTGCGTAAGTATCCATCTAAATTTGATTCTAACTTCTTTATAATCATTTGTCGTCCTTCTTAATATTTCGATTCGTAGTCCCGTTTTAGGCTTTTTTTTTTTTAGCTCCCAAAGAGAGAATGCTAGGTTGTTTAAGAAATGCTACCACTTGTCCATGATCTCTTCTAACCATCAATTTAACAATTCAAATTTTTCGTCTTTCAGAAAGTCACGTATTGTATGATTATCTTATCTTTTTTCTTACTTAAATGAACTGGTGTTGTAATCCTTCGGTAAAAAGTGATATTCGTGCACAATGATAAAGATATGTTTCCTAAACCATTGCAACCATGTGAATGCCACTTAAAAATGAAGGCACGACATTATCTTCTAGGCTTCCAATTGATGATATCCTTTTTCCCCATAAAGGGAGAGAAATGAAAAAGATGAGTATCATTTTAATATAAACTATATTCTAATATATATCTTGATCTATTTCCCTTTACCCTTTGTCTTCGTTCATAGTGCGTAAGTATCCATCTAAATTTGATTCTAACTTCTTTATAATCATTTGTCGTCCTTCTTAATATTTCGATTCGTAGTCCCGTTTTAGGCTTTTTTTTTTAGCTCCCAAAGAGAGAATGCTAGGTTGTTTAAGAAATGCTACCACTTGTCCATGATCTCTTCTAACCATCAATTTAACAATTCAAATTTTTCGTCTTTTAGAAAGTCACGTATTGTATGATTATCTTAACTTTTTTCTTACTTAAATGGACAGGGCCCCGTATTATAAAGATTCAGCGTAAGTTGGATTCATCATTATAATCCAGCGTATCTCACAATCAACTGTAACTCAATAGCCGATTTCCGTATTATAAACGCCCTTGGAAATCAAGCGTGAGTTACAATGGATTCGCGGTTAAAAAACTATAGTTTATAATTAAAGAGGCGACTAGCGGCAAGGCTACGACTTGGCTCATGCGCAGTTGCACTATTTTGCTTTCAGTGTCGTCTACCATCGTCAGCGCAACAATGAACCCCAATGAACCCAATTTCTGAGCTTGACATTGTTTTTCGTAGCAATTCCGTAAGTACAAGTCATATTTATTACCCAATACGAAGAATTAATTTCATAACTCGACATCTATGTGCTTTTTTTATTTGTCAATACTTTTCTGGCGGTTAAACAAAGATAGATTATGATAGCTCGTGTGCGAGTGATTGACCAGTTTCGTGCGGCATGCAGTGGGCAAGAGTCGACAGCGGAAGCTGCGTGTAGCGCCCGGCCTAGTGCCGGGCACTTTGGCATCAGTCACTACTGTCATCCGATGCTGTAATTATCCGGAGTTGGCTGTCGGTTTAATTAATTTAGAACCGAAAATCCAGTTTTATTGCAACCTAACTATCAAAACAGCAACTCCTGCAATAAATTGCAAGAACCAAAATAGTGTCTAGATTTCACTAGACTCTAGTTAGTCTAATCTAGATCTATAAATTATTAAATAGAAATCGACATTAGAAGTCACACTTTGCATGGCGAAACTTAAACTTTAATAAAGTTACTAAAAAAATAAAGTCGATCGTCGACTAGTCTAGGGTCTAGACTTCTAAACTAAAGTTAGACTCGTCTAGATCTAGATCTAGGCCTACGTAAAAAATAAATATGTAGGCCTCGATCTAGTCCTAGACTAGACCCTAGATTATTAGGAACCTAGTCTAGGCCTAGTCTAGACTATAATACTTAGCTTTGCCTTTGCTGGAGTGATCTAGACTAAGTTAGACTCTAACTAGGCCTAGGTCTAGTCTAGATCTTTATTTTTTGCGTAGTCTTGTGCAAACATAGATCTAGGCGTACTTACTGACTTTTGTTGTCAGTAACTGAACCTTGCTATTTTGCAACCAGGCCGGCCTGCCCTTGAATTTGAATGTCTCAAGTGATTCGCCCTCTCCCTCAGTGCCCAGTACCCGATAAACCCCCCACCTGAAGTAAACAGTTAGTCCAAGTACTGATTTTGTGACAAAGTGACCAGATTTGATTACAAAATCAGACAGTAATTGCATGGACTAGATCTAGATCTAGGCCTAACTCACTGTGATACTCGCAGCTGTCTTAACCCTATGTTAACTGGGGGGGGGGGGGGTCAATTTGACCCCCCCCCTGTACTATTAGTTATTACTACTCCGGAACCGCGGCAGATATAAAGTTTTCCTTTCGTGACTTTTTTTCTTTTGAGTCTTACACATCTTCTAAAACATTTTTTTGAAAATGCTCATTTTTTAATTCTAAGAATTAACCCCCACCCCCCCCCTCATTCACTTTTACAGGAAAATGTACAGAGAAACTTGTTGCAGTACCAAATGCTTGCCTTCTTTGAGTAGACCCTATGTGCTTGAAACAAAACTCACTGTGATGCTCCCAGGTGTCGTAACCCTATGTTAAGTGGGGTCAATTTGACCCCCTCCCCCTGTAGTAATTTACATGTAGATATAAAGTTTTCCTTGCATGACTTTTTTTCTTTCGAGTCTTACACATCTTTTAAAACAATTTTTTTGAAAATGCTCATCAATGCCAAGATCATGCTTATTTTTTAATTCTAAGAATTAGCACTCCCCTCCCCCACTCACTTTAACAGGAAAATGTACAGAGAGACTTGTTGCCATACCAAATGCTTGCCTTCTTTGAGAATGTGCTTGAAACAAAAAATGTCCTGGAGAGAACAGACCACCATGCACCATGAGAGAAGGTAAATATATTTATCTTTGATCTTATAACTTGATCTGTATAGTTTTGTCAAGTAAAAGAAAATTTTGAAATGAGGGAGGTCAAGGCCAAGTTGGAGGGGGGTGCAAAGGGCTGGTTTGAGAAGATCCTTTCAGGGGGGTGTCTATGCAGGCGCGGATCCAGGATTTCTTGGGGGGGGGGCCAAATTTGAAATCAATTTGAAATTTAGTGTGCTGAAATTGAAAATCGTGCCGGCAAATATTTCGCTCGAGGGGGGGGGGGGGGGGGGGGGGGGGCGGGGGGGGGGGGGGTAGTGAGCACTAATTTTTTTTCTTCTAAAATTGGAAATCGCGCCGGTCGATAATTCGCTCAGTGGGGGGTGGGGTAGTGAGCACTAATATTTTTTTGGGGGCCCCTCGTAAATTTGAAAAATTGCACCCCCCCCCCCTTGAGCGGGGGGGGGGGGCCTTGATCCGCCACTGTGTCTATGTGCCGGTATGCATCAAGAAGTATAGATGTCTACTAACAAGTTGCTGTAGTGTTTATTTCAAATATATCTCTTTTTAGAATTAACATTTGTAGCTCATGTAGAAAGGGGGAGGGAAATCCAATACATGGAAAGGAATGACAAGCAAAAAGAATACATAACTGACCTTTGAATTTTGCTAAAAAAAGTATACATTGAAGAAAACTAAAATATTAAATAATGTTATATACCTCACTTAAGAAATCCAGCCATCTGATTGGTCGAATTGCATTCATAAACTTCAACTGTTCCTGTAAAATTCTCGGTAACCATGCATAAAACATTTCAATATTTTTAATAACCATGGTTATTAAAAAAAGTTGGTCAGCCTCCATGGTTACCCCATAGGTTTACATGTTAAAAAATGGTTTGAGCGATGGAGGATGCCGTATGTGTGCGAAGGATTGGTCGGTAATTTCAATACAATTGAATCTCGATCGATCTTACCGACAATTTTATCTTGCATTGTTGACATGAAGACGAAAATAAACTTCCAAAAACAAAAAAACAACATCTGCCGATAGATCTTGATCTAAGTTCGTGCCAATATGCATTGCAAAAGTAAAAGAAGAGTCCGTATATGGAGCTTTTGCGAAGCATTCATCACACGCGAAGCCGGTTTCAATCCATTTTAATGTATATATCGTACAAAACTGCCAAGCAGATTAATAGCGCGCCATGGCCGAGAGGTCTGAGGCGCTGACTTTAGATACATCACCTTTTGTACGCAAGAGTTCGAATCTCATCTTCGACCAAAAAAATAAAGTATTTTTTATTTTTTATTTTTTAGTCTATTTTTTTTCGGCATATAAAAGTATTAATGACTGCTTTAATATTCGAGAAATAGTTGTTTTCATACGCTCTCGGGAAGGTTACAATTGGGCTATTCCCCTCGGCAAGCCTCGGGGAATAGCACAATTCTAACCTTCCCTTGAGCGTAATAAAACAACTATTTCTCTCAAAGCAGTCATTAATACTATACTATTTCGTTTTGTATTTTCTTACATGTATTGTCAATATTTATTGAAATGTTTATAATTCTGTTCCAGGAATTGAGAAGGACGGCTTCCTGTCGAGAGATCATGGGGTGCCTTGAGGTTCCAGCCTTGAATGTCTGCCCTTTACCTCAAAACGATGGCCTCTTGTAGGAGCAAAGCACAATGGACTGGTAATTCATAATCAATATTACATTTGTACACGTTGTTTAACCAATCTGGGAAAGATATAGAGATAATACCAATTAAAAAATGTATGCAATTTTTACGACATTGGCAATTGTTTACTGGTTATGCTGTAACACTAAAATTAATTCACCTTAATTCTGGATCTATTGCAAAACATAAATGTTTTAAAACATTGCCAGACCCAAAGTTAGGTATTCAACGCTAAATCCCTTTCTACATACTGTACTGGTGTTGTTCAAAGTTGATATTTTATTTTTATTACACCCTTACTTAAAGTTCTAAAATTTCTGCAAAAACATACCCTGCTGTTCACTTTATAATTATTATCTTACAGTGCTTTCAGGAACATGCCATAAAAGCGAATTCATTGTATGTCATTATACAAACAGGTGCCTGTACATGTAATGCAGAAGCTCATGATGATATGGTAGACACAACGAGGACCTTGCTGTCTTAAGCTCAGAGGCCAGATGACAGAGTCTGAAGTACATGTAAGTTGCCCAATAGAAGAGCATGAAATTTCAGTTGCAATCGTCAACCAACCCATCCCACTTTCACAACAGTCCCAACAGTAACGGTCTACATTCAACATTTGCTTTAGTAATGATTTAATCTCCTTTAAATATATAGGAATTTTTGTTGATGATTTTTTAGAATTAAAATGGTTATTGATTAAAATATTTATTTATATTTTGATTATTATAATTATTATTATTATCATTATTATTATTATTATTATTATTATTTTTTTTTTTGGGGGGGGGGGAGGGGGGGGGGGGGTGGTCAGCCTAGCAATACAAGGCCTTATTATCGCATGTGGCTATATCCTGGAGGTATTCGCCCCAGAAGTGTAATAAATAACAAATATGTTTGTTTACCGGCACAAAACAAAGCATGAAAAAAAAAGGAATGTACTCCTGTCAAGCAAACGGTATGTTAATGATCATAATAATAATAATAGTGTAAATTTATAGAGCGCACACACACTCCGGGGCGCTCATGGCTCTAGCTCTGCAACAGATCTCTTTAATACAAGTAAAGTAAATGTTTATTTGATAATTATACTATCAGAAACTCAAAAACAATTTTGCAACATTATTTGAAACTAATAGCCTTTTGAAGATTACTAGAATAAGTAGAAGAAAAAAAGGAGAAGAAATACACTGATGATGTCAGCTTTACATCTTAAAGTGCTTGTAAAATATTTGAAAATGTTTTTTTTTCTTCTTTTCACTAATATTTTGTTCATAAACAGCCAGCTTGTCAGAATTGGTTACAAAGATGCAAGTGGACTTGTCTTCAGTAGTGGCTAAAGAGGAGCAGTCAGCAGAAGGAGCGTGCAACTCCAAAACAATGTGGATACCTCTCTCAAGTTCATCTGTAATCAGACACATGGCTCTTCAGGAATCAAGATAAGACAGTGGAGGTAGAGGAGTCTGTGACCCTCCTGACTGTGGACTACTTGCATTATACATGTACTAAATTAATGGATTGAAGCACTACTGCACAAAACTCGACCAGCCATTTTGAACAAATCGTAATAAACACTTGATGAAGCATTGATTTATGTAACTGGTATTAGCCTTAAGGTACAGTTAAGGTTCTAAATTTGATAAGAAACCTCAAGAACCTCAAGCTGCAACCCCCCTCCCCCTCTGCTCTCCTGTAAACCCTTCGAGCAAGGGATCAAATGAATTAAAATCCTAACTTAATTACTAATGAATTGATCTGTTAATTATTGTCATCATTTCAGGATAGTTCTTTGTGTGGAGATCAGTGAATGGATATTTCCATGTACAATGCAAGTGAGGTGTCCATCTTCACTGGACATGAAGGCTGATTTTCAAGGAGAGAAGCAAGATAGATTGATGTGAACTTAATGACATAGGGAATGTTTCCCTGTATTGTCGGATTGAGGTTTGAATGGCATGGATGTTGAATAATGTGAAGTTAGTGAAAAGAATGGCAGAATATACTGAATTTGTACACCAGCCTATGGGAGATTAAAAAAATTGCTTTCTTTGGACACAGGTCTATGGAAAAACAAAGCAATAACAACATTTACTGCACCTCAAGGAGCTGCGGTAAATGTTACCGTTGGTATGACTGTTAAACTACAATTCCTGGTAGTGGGATGACTTAATGCAGGGGCAAGTTGATCCACGAGACAGAGTAGGCCAGCCCTTGTGAACCTGTATTTCCGCCAGATTTCACTGTCGGACCTATCCAGAGGGTCTACTCTGTCTCGGAAGACTCATTCCCTCCGTAGTTGCCTACCGGCCTCTTCCTGCAGAACTTGCAGTATTGCTGCCATCTTCAATTGTAACTTACCACTTGATAAAAATCCAGCGGAAAGTTACAATGAATTATCAAAGATCCGCTGGATTTTCCGCTTGATATCAAGCGGAACTTTCTTTATAATACGTGTTATCAAACTTCCGCTTGATTTAAAAAGATCCGCTGGATTTGTCAAAGATCCGCTTGATTTGTCAAAGTTCCGCTTGATCATGAATCTTTATAATACGGGTTATCAAACTTCCGCTTGATTTAAAGAGATCCGCTGGATTTGTCAAAGATGCGCTGGATTTATCCAACTTCCGCTTGATTTATTCAACTTCCGCTTGATTATAAATCTTTATAATACGGGGCCCTGGTGTGGTAATCCTTCGGTAAGAAGGGATATTCGTGCACAATGATTATGATATATTCCAAAACGATTGTAATCATATATGCCATTTATCATAATATGGCATTAAAATTGTCTCTTAGACTTCCAAATGATGATATCCATATTTCCCATAAAAAAGAGAAATGAAAAACATGATTATCATTTTAATATAAACTGTTGTATAATATGTATCTTTATCTATGTTCCTTTACCCTTTGGCGACGTTCATAGGACGTAAGTATCCATCTAAATGTAATCATCCCTTTTTCATAATAATTTGTCGTCCTTCTTAATATTTCGATTCGTAGTCCCGTTTTAGGCTTTTTTGTAGCTCAGCACGAGAGAATGCTAAGTTGTTTTAGAAATGCCTCCACTTGTTCTTTACCACTTCTAACCATCGGTTAAAAGATTCTCAGTGTTTGTCTTTCATAAAGGCACGTAGTGTATGTTTATATTATGTTTTGTCTAACTTAATTGGACTGGTGTGGTAATCCTTCGGTAAGAAGGGATATTCGTGAACAATGATAAAGATATATTCCAAAACCATTGTAACCATATATGCAAATTATAAAATATGGCATTAAAATTGTCTCTTAGACTTCCAAATGATGATCTCCATATTTCCCATAAAAAAGAGAAATGAAAAAGATGATTATTTTTTTAATATAAACTGTAATCTAATATGTATCTTTATCTATGTTCCTTTACCCTTTGATTACGTTAATAGGACGTAAGTATCCATCTAAATTTAATCATCCCTTCTTTATAATCATTTGTCGTCCTTCTTAATATTTCGAGTCGTAGTCACGTTTTAGGTTTTTGTTAAGCTCCCCACGAGAGAATGCTAGGTTGTTTAAGAAATGCTACCCATTGTCCATAACCACTTGTAACCATCGGTTTAAAAATTCAAATTGTTCGACTTTCATCAAGTCACGGATTGTATGTTTATCTTATGTTTTTTCTTACTTAAATGAACTGGTGTTGTAATCCTTCGGTAAAAAGGGATATTCGTGCACAATGATTATGATATATTCCAAAACCTTTGTAATCATATATGCCATTTATAAAATATGGCATTAAAATTGTCTCTTAGACTTCCAAATGATGATATCCATATTTCCCATAAAAAAGAGAAATGAAAAACATGATTATCATTTTAATATAAACTGTTGTATAATATGTATCTTTATCTATGTTCCTATACCATTTGGATACGTTTATAGGACGTAAGTATCCATCTAAATGTAATCATCCCTCTTTCATAATAATTTGTCGTCCTTCTTAATATTTCGATTCGTAGTCCCGTTTTAGGTTTTTTTTTAGCTCCCAAAGAGAGAATGCTAGGTTGTTTAAGAAATGCTACCACTTGTCCATGATCTCTTCTAACCATCAATTTAACAATTCAAATTGTTCGTTTTACAGAAAGTCACGTATTGAATGATTATCTTATCTTTTTTCTTGCTTAAATGAACTGGTGTTGTAATCCTTCGGTAAGAAGAGATATTCGTGCACAATGATAAAGATATGTTTCCTAAACCATTGAAACCATGAATGCCACTTAAAAAAAGGCACGACATTATCTTTTAGGCTTTCAACTGATGATCTCCTTCTTTCCTATAAAAAATAGAAATGAAAAAGATGAGAATCATTTTAAAATAAACTGTATTCTAATATATATCTTGATCTATTTCCCTTTAACCTTTATCTTCGTTCATAGCGTGTAAGTATCCATCTAAATTTGATTATAACTTCTTTAAATTCATTTGACGTCCTTCTTGATATTTCGATTCGTGGTCATTTTTAAGGCTGTTTTAATGCTCACCACGAAAAAATGCTAGGTTGTTTTAGAAATGCTACCATTTTTCCATAACCTTTTTAACCATCGGTTTAAACATTCAAATGTTTCGTCTTTCAGAAAGTCATGTATTGTATGATTATCTTATCTTTTTTCTTACTTAAATGAACTGGTGTTGTAATCCTTCGGTAAAAAGTGATATTCGTGCAAAATGATAAAGATATGTTTCCTAAACCATTGCAACCATGTGAATGCCACTTAAAAATGAAGGCACGACATTATCTTCTAGGCTTCCAATCGATGATAACCTTTTTCCCCATAAAGAGAGAGAAATGAAAAAAAGATGAGTATCACTTGTATATTAAGTGTAATCTAATATAATCTGTATTTGTGTTCCTTTTACCCTCATCCTTTGTTTATAGACGGTAAGTATCCATCTAAATTCAAATATATATTTTTTTTAAATATGTTCTGGTCCTTTTTCCAAATCTTGTTCATCTTTTCACTTCTACGCTTTTGTTTAGCTCATCACGTTAGAATGATTGGGTGTTGTAGAAATAATACCACTTTTCCTTGATCACTTCTAACCATCAGTTTAAAAATTAAATTTTTCGTCTTTCAGAAAGTCACGTATTGTATGATTATCTTAACTTGTTTCTTACTTAAAAGAACTGGTGTTGTAATCCTTCGGTAAAAAGTAATATTCGTGCACAATGATAAAGATATGTTTCCTAAACAATTGCAACCATGTGAATGCCACTTAAAAATGAAGGCACGACATTATCTTCTAGGCTTCCAATTGATGATATCCTTTTTCCCCATAAAGAGAGAGAAATGAAAAAAAGATGAGTATCACTTGTATATTAAGTGTAATCTAATATAATCTGTATTTGTTTTCCTTTTACCCTCATCCTTTGTTTATAGGCAGTAAGTATCCATCTAAATTCAAATATATATATTTTTTTTAATATGTTCTGGTCCTTTTTCCAAATCTTGTTCATCTTTTTCACTTCTACGCTTTTGTTTAGCTCATCACGTTAGAATGATTGGGTGTTGTAGAAATAATACCACTTTTCCTTGATCACTTCTAACCATCAGTTTAAAAATTAAATTTTTCGTCTTTCAGAAAGTCACGTATTGTATGATTATCTTAACTTTTTTCTTACTTAAATGGACTGGTGTGGTAATCCTTCGGTAAGAAGGGATATTCGTGAACAATGATAAAGATATATTCAAATACCATTGTAATCATATATGCCATTTATAAAATATGGCATTAAAATTGTCTCTTAGACTTCCAAATGATGATATCCATATTTCCCATAAAAAAGAGAAATGAAAAACATGATTATCATTTTAATATAAACTGTTGTATAATATGTATCTTTATCTATGTTCCTTTACCCTTTGGCTACGTTCATAGGACGTTAGTATCCATCTAAATGTAATCATCCCTTTTTCATAATAATTTGTCGTCCTTCTTAATATTTCGATTCGTAGTCCCGTTTTAGGCTTTTTTTTAGCTCCCAAAGAGAGAATGCTAGGTTGTTTAAGAAATGCTACCACTTGTCCATGATCTCTTCTAACCATCAATTTAACAATTCAAATTGTTCGTTTTACAGAAAGTCACGTATTGAATGATTATCTTATCTTTTTTCTTGCTTAAATGAACTGGTATTGTAATCCTTCGGTAAGAAGAGATATTCGTGCACAATGATAAAGATACGTTTCCTAAACCATTGAAACCATGAATGCCACTTAAAAAAAGGCACGACATTATCTTTTAGGCTTTCAACTGATGATCTCCTTCTTTCCTATAAAAAATAGAAATGAAAAAGATGAGAATCATTTTAAAATAAACTGTATTCTAATATATATCTTGATCTATTTCCCTTTAACCTTTATCTTCGTTCATAGCGTGTAAGTATCCATCTAAATTTGATTATAACTTCTTTAAATTCATTTGACGTCCTTCTTGATATTTTGATTCGTGGTCATTTTTAAGGCTGTTTTAATGCTCACCACGAGAAAATGCTAGGTTGTTTTAGAAATGCTACCATTTTTCCATAACCTTTTTAACCATCGGTTTAAACATTCAAATGTTTCGTCTTCCAGAAAGTCATGTATTGTATGATTATCTTATCTTTTTTTCTTACTTAAATGAACTGGTGTTGTAATCCTTCAGTAAAAAGTGATATTCGTGCAAAATGATAAAGATATGTTTCCTAAACCATTGCAACCATGTGAATGCCACTTAAAAATGAAGGCACGACATTATCTTCTAGGCTTCCAATCGATGATAACCTTTTTCCCCATAAAGAGAGAGAAATGAAAAAAAGATGAGTATCACTTGTATATTAAGTGTAATCTAATATAATCTGTATTTGTGTTCCTTTTACCCTCATCCTTTGTTTATAGACGGTAAGTATCCATCTAAATTCAAATATATATTTTTTTTAAATATGTTCTGGTCCTTTTTCAAAATCTTGTTCATCTTTTCACT